GATGCTGCAAGGTCCTTCTCCTTACATGAAGCCCACCCTCCACTCCATACCCCTACTCTGTTAGGGATCTCTGGACTTCGGGTTAGGTAGGACTATGACCATAGCAGCAGGAAGTAGCTCCAGAAAATATGAGGCCTTCACCCAATGTCCTTTGTAAGGCTACAAAGGGTTACCTACAAAAGGTCCATAGGTATAACAGGAGAGATTGTAAGGGGTGCAGAGCATGGGTCCCCTGATAATAAGGGAACAAGCCCCACAATTGGGGGAGGGGTGTCCACAGAATGAGAAGCACAGAATTTAAGACACAGTGCATAAAATGGCAAATTAATAGTGGTGCCTTCCTGAAAGGAAGAAGGGCTGCTGCCTGGTGTGGATTGTGTACATGACTGGGAGAGCATGCAATGAGTCATGACACAGACAGAGGGGTGGATGCCCCTATGTACAACTGGGAACTTTCACCATGACTAAAGATGACAGCTAAAAGAGGGTTAAAGAAACTGGGGAGCTGGCAAAGTGGCAGACACTAATGCGCCATAGTGAGAGCTGAATAGGAGGTCACACAGGAGTTCCATGCTAAGCGTTTAAATTAGGGTGGGCTGAAGGTCAGTAGAGGGAGACACGACATCTGGTGGGAGGTCTGCCTGTAGGTCTGTCTGTGAGTGAGCCTTCCACAGGGTCTGCAGAGGGGTCAGCCACAGTGAGGTCTGCAAGAGGAGGCTGCAGAGAAGCCTGCCCCGAGGTTGAGAGGTCTGCCTGGAAGTCTGCCAGGAGAAGACAGCTGCAGACCTGGCAGTGCTGTGGGGGACCTGCCTGGCCACCCAGACCCGTGAGAGATGCTTGGAGCTGAACTGTGACTGGGAATGTTGAATGGCAGACTTCTGGTTTTCTGAAAGACAGCAACTTTAAGTAGGGTATTCTGAAACTGGCCCGGTTTGGCAGAGAGGCTGGACTATTTGTTTTGTGTTATTTTTTAAGGGAGTGGTTCTTAACAACGGAAATCTGCCATTACTCTAAGCCAGTTTAACTTTTACATAAACAAGCCCTTTCCTTTTTCACTAAACTCTTGCCTTGGGAGTCATGCTTCTTGGTGGTGGGCACCCGAACTCCACGGTTGTTCCAGAACACCACTGGCAGGATTCTGTAACACCTTGACAGATTGATTACAGTAGAGGTGATGCTATGGCACTTCTGAGGCTCGGTCAGAAAAGGCCACACAATCTCTACTAGTTCCTTTAGGCACTCTTTCAGGGACCCTGAAGCCATCATGTAAAAATCCCAACTGCCCTAAGAACGTCATGCTGTGAAGAGTCCCCCCCTGCTTGTTAGGGGCACCCATTGTGGGACCCACAGGGGCTGTGGTGCCCCCGATGATTGCCAGGGGCAAACCAGGGTAGGGCCACGGCAGTCCCTCCAGGGAGAGCCGCCATGCTCAAGTGTTTGCCCCCTCACTCAAGTTCTTCTACGCTCAGTCAATAAATGAAACAAAAACTATCCAGACAAATAATGCTCTTCCCTTTAGATACTGGCAATTTTTGTTTAACGCCATTAGAAAATACTGACTTTTGAACATTAAAAGGAATTACCTTCTATTTTGAAACAGGAAAGGAAAAAAATACCTTATAAGGGAAAAATTGTCATCACAAACTAGGTGCTATTTTAACATCTACCATGAATCCCTAGTCTCAAATATGAGTAATACTTCATCTCTATCCTCACTTCTATTCTAAAAAATAAAGGACATAGATAAATTCTAATGGTAAGAAATATCCAGCACCTCGTAGCTATCCATATACTTACTCCAACTCCCCCAAAGACACATTCCTTGCTTATTTAATATCTAACTGAATAAGAGAAATTATACAGCAAAGTAGTCAAGGTGTTTCAGTATCACCTAAACTTGTGTGAGCAATTCCCCCGATCTATCTCCTTTAGGAAATGACTCTCTGAGATTAAGTACAATAGTGTTGACTCTGATGACTTGGTTGGTTGGTGGTTTTGTTGTTGTTTTTTTGTTTTCACAAAAACCACAAGTCATGTTGGGAGACATACTTTGTTGACACACTAGACTGGTGCTGAAATAAATTTTGGGGACAACATTCAAGCCTTGCACCTTTCACAACCATTCCTGAATAACCAAAAGATTCATAACTACACTTAGTCTAATCACTCTCTAATGACAATTTTCACTCACAGATATAATCACATTTTGAAATTAATTGACAATGTAGTGAAATAAAATAATTTATCTGAAGTTTGCTATCTTCTTAACTTACTTTTTTTTCTTATTACTTTGGTACCGAGGGACACACATATAATCTAACCTAATTGTGACTTGTTTATTACATTTGTAATAAAATATTTTGCCAAGTCAGTACGCACACTTTTGGCTCTAATTACATTTTCATTTTTAATCATATTGAGGTCCCAATGAAAAATCTGCTGAAATTCTCAATAGGCAGCAGAACATTATGCAATTATAGCACAATTAGCATAACAATATTGGGCAATAAATATATCCATAAGTGTATTTTTCCTAAGGATTGTCTTCTAGACTTGGCAGTATCTTAGATGTATTTTGTCTGTATGCAGACTTCTGCCCATCAGTCCCTGAGTGCTCCATCTGTCCTTAAATTTCTTTATTCTGTGCCTTACTAATATGTCAAAACCTGTGGCTTAACATGTAGGAAATCTTTAGAGCAGGGCAACCACTCAGATACTGTTGCCTGAATCACCTATTGTACGTAGGAACATGCTGACCCTCCTCAGTGACCTGCAGCATCCATCCCTCCCCTCATTAGTAACTACTAACATCTGTCCTGGACCACTCACCTGTCATGGTAGTTCTGCCTGCCAGGCCTTGAGACCCCAGTACCACCAAAGAGCCTCTGTTGATATAGTCTACAAGTTTACAAGCCTATTCAAACTACATTGTCAGGAAAAAGAGCACAGGAGAAAATAATTTATTTTTGCCCCTTATGGACTGGTTTTTATTTTTAGGAATGTCTCATACTATTCTCTCACAGAAAGATGTGTTTGACAAAGGAGAAGGAGCAGGGGAATGAGGCAGAGGAGGTGGAGGAAGAAGAAGAGGAAAGGAGCAAGAAACGGAGAAATTAAGAACTTCTATGAAAGACTGGTTGTCATTACAGGTGAGCTGATACAGATAGGATTCACCTGGAAAAGGATGCTAGGTGTCAACTCGAATGGAAACATCCCTTTTTCATATTTGGGACTGATCCTGTCCTACTTGAGGAGGCAAACGGGAAATGAGATGCCATAATTGACCCCGAGCAGTTACAGAAGCTTGCCCTGTTTACTCGTGATTTATGGATGAAAGGGTCGATAGCAATTTTCTGTTTCCAGCTATTATTATTTCAACAAATAACAGTGTGACCTGGCATAAACCCAGTGCCTCAGACACAAAAGAAGTACCACTCACCAGCCTGCCTTTCATCAACATTGTGTCCGGACGGGCCCTTTGTGGGCACATTGCACCATCGGTGAGGCGCAGAGTATCTGACACTTTTTTTTTCTCTCCGCTGGAATTTATTTATACCTCACAAAAGAATATTCAACCTCAGGCATTTAGCAAAGATGTGATTATAATATATATGCTTTAAATTAAGAAACTGCTCTTTTCATATAATGTTTGTCACTTAGTTAAGGGTATTATATGTAACTTTCCAGATAACTATTTTGAAATTGGCTATTGGTAAATATTAACACTTAAGGTACTCAATTACTTGTATCTCACATTATTTCTTTAAATCATATAGCCCTACACTCTATCATAAGAATTTTCTCAATTTCCATTCCTATCTCCAGAAAACCCCACTTGGCTTCATTTGAGAAAAATTTGTTTTCAAGTGTCTTAACAGCCTCCACTTTTGTAAGAATCTGAACTTTCTTAGATAACATATTGCATCATAGAGAAATGCAACATGTTATGACAGAGATAATAAATCTATACAAAAAATAATGAAAGGGGTTTTTTAACTGTTTAACCACAGAGAAATGATGAAATGAATTATGGGACATCAACCCAATGAAATATTTTGCAGGTATTTAAACCTATATCTGTGAGAACTTTATAATAATATAGGAAAAATATGACATGTTAATAGTTTTGAAATAGTTTTGTTGAACTCATGACCCCACCTATGACGCTAGACCTAAGTATCTTATAACTGGCATAGAGGGTGGGCAAAAGTAGGTTTACAGTTGTAAGTATGTGAGACAGAGTTTATTCCTGTATTATTATTGTAACCATAACCCCACATCCACCCACCTCCAAAGCCCATCCAATGCCATAGCTGTCAGCCAAGTTCAGCTAAGTCTGAAATGCAACTCACAATGGTGATTTACATTATTGTGAAATCAAGGCTGCTTGTAGAATTACAATTGCAATGCTAAAGTGCCTTTTCTTCATCCGGATGAAAATGTTCTGCCTCTGCATATAAAAAGGAGTTAAAGATGCAGTTAATAAACTGAACTACGTGAATTTTAGGCCACAAAAATTTATGCAGACAACAAAGAACACATTTGCATTTGATACTGCTCTAAAAAAATTAGAGGACTTTTCACTCGAATGGGAAACTGAGCCCTTTGGCGCAAATCAAAACAAAAAAATAATTTCCCTTTATAACTGATGCTAATTCACTCTGAAACCAGGCTTCTGAGCCTCTGCTTAAGACTTTTACTAGACCTGGGGAAATATATCATGAAATGAATCTGTTTTAAAAGTCACAGGGCCCTGCTGGCTTATCTACTGTTGGCCCTCAAGCTTCCTAATCAACAATCTAAAGGCCATCAGACCTCATTCATCCTCAATGATTACTTTCAAACAGATGGCAAATTTCAGTATCCAGTGGAAATTTAAAGGCAAGAGTGTGAAAATATTAGAAAACCACTCACCTCGGGTCTGTTACCTGGCCAAGTCAAGGAATACAGGCGTTCCCTGCAGTGTAGGAGCTCCAAACCCATACTGGGGAGCTGCTTACCTGTTCCTGATACTCCGAAAACACCACCCCGAGGGCCAGCAGATGTGGACGTGCCGGTTGTTACATCACAGGGCGGCGCTCCGATGGCGGTGGCAGGTTGGTGCAAGAGAGACCAGGGCGCCTTTTCCATCTGAGGCTCACTAGCTATAAGGGTCCCAGACAAAGGAGGCACATTTCCTATCTGTGACTCTAAACTACATTCCTCAATGTGTTAAAGGGTCAAGAGGCAGTCACAGGACAAGAAGCGGAATCCAAAAGGAGATAAGGAAGGAGTCACAATCCACTCCCAGAATAATACGCATTCCTTCAGGCCAGCGGCCCTTGACCAGCCCTCAGTCATGGGAGTGGGAAGGGCCACGCCCCCGGGCCCCTCACTCCCCCACCTCCTGTTCACTCAGGCAGTGGAAGACAGTGTACTGCCCACTCCCACCTTCTGGCTTCCCCCAGGGGGGCAATCTCACCTCATCGCGACCTTCCTTTTGCTTCCCACTTTCCAGATACATTTATAGTCTTTGCTTTGTTTCTCGAAGCTGAATCCTTCTTACCCTGCAGATTCCAACCCCTATGATGTAGATTCATAGAGAGTCTTCTCTGATAATCTTATTAAAAATGGCAACTTCTGTTCACTTTCCATCATAACACTATTACTTTACTTTAAAGAACAGGGGCTTTGATTCATGTATACATCTGTGCCCTCACGTAATTGTCACTGGATCACAGAGGTGCTTGATAGAAAGTGGATGGATAAATGAGAGACTAAATTACCAAACATGTCCTATATCCAGTATTTAGCTAAATATCAGAGACGCAAAGTTGGATGAGAAGTGGTCAATTCATGGAAGTGGCTGGACCAGAAGAATGTCAGCCAAACTTAGATTCAAGGCTTGTGTTTTAGAAAGCTCATTGTGGATGAATTGAGTGTGAAAATAGATTGGAAAGGGGCTGGACTAGAGGTAGGCTGGATATTTTTGGAGGCAATTGCAGTAAAGTAAGGAATTATGAGGCTATAAAGCAAGACAGTGATATAGGGAAAGGAGAAGGGGCTGATGTCAAAGATGTTAAGGACGGTGAATTAACTGGCAGTCAGAGATGAAGAAGATGTTGGAGTTTTGACCTTAGAATGCAGTCTAAGGCAGCTACATAAATAAAGGGAACATGCACTGAAAATGGCCATGGTGTTGTGAAAACACAGAAGGAGGAAAGCTGTTATGTGCTAAGAGTCTAACACATTAAGTGTAAGCTGTCCAATATATGTGCTTTTCCCACACCACCAAGCAATTAACTCAGTTCTCTGTAGACATTCAAGTGGCTCATAAATTTAACTCAATTCTGACCCTATCTACCTGGAGTTAGCCATCAAATCCCACCAGTTAAGGGCTCGATTCCATAAGATTTATCACTGCCCCACCTTCAAGCTCAGACTTCAATCCCGGTCCAAGGTGTCACCTGTACTCTGACCACCTGGCTATAAATAAGACCTTCCCATGTCCTCTCCATGGACCACACTGCTTTGCTAGAGCAGCCTACAGAACTGAGAGAAACATTTACTTACTAGGTAAGCAGTTTATTATCTAGGTTTTTACAAGAATATAAATGGACAGCCAGACGGCAGAGGTGCACAGGGCAACGTGTGGGGGAAGGGTGCGGAGATTCCACGCCCTCCCAGAGGGGCCGCTTTTTCCAAATCTCCACCTGCTCACTAGCCCCGGGAAAAGCTCCACAGCGAATCTTTGTGGATTTTTAGGGAGGATTCATTTCTTAGGCATTGATTGACTAAACCACATTGGCCAGTGATGACTGAAATCAATCTCCAGCCCCTCCCCCCTCCTAGAAAGTCAAAGGGTAGAGCCTTGGTCCCAACCCTGTAACCACACAGTAGGTCCTTAGATTACCTAGGGCCTTTCCACAGGTTGACTCATTAACATAACAAAAGATACCTGTATTGTTCTCAGCACTTAGGAAATCCCAGTGGTTTAGAAGCTCTGTGCCAGGAACAGGGACTAAAACCAAATAATATATTTCTTATTACAAATCACAACATCACAGCTGTCTGTTAGATACAGACATGTATCTAACAGATATTGAGATGTTCAGGGACCTTTCAATCTACCATTTGAGCATTCACACAGAGATAGTGGTTCAAGTTTAAACTGAGCATCCTTGGTGCGTACGTACCTAGCACTGGAAATCAGAGGAAGAAAGGAAATGAGCCAAAGAGCATCAGCAGAATGAAAAGTCATGAAGGTCAAGGACAAAACCTGAAAGTGTACATGCACCTTGGCACTGATAGAAACACACACAAACTCATGCCAGAGAGGGTGGCAGGTTTAGCATTCGTTAAAGGAATAAAAAATTTCCACTGCACCTCAAGAAAGCTGTTTGCCCATAACAGCATAATTATAAGTAAAACAGTCCCCTTGACAAAGCCAAGTGCTAAATGGAGGAGTTGGAATAAAGCCAGAAACTACTACCTTCTGAATAGAGTGGATACTGATATATCATAGACCTGCATAACTGTTACCCTTTAAGGAAACAAAACAAAACAAATAAAAACTGACCAACCTTTATAAAAAATGTGAAATGCTTTCCTTAGAAAAGTCAGAACTCTCAATATAATTTGGTGGGCTAGAAAAATGGAAACTAAGACAAGTTTCAATTCTGTCTACTCAGGTATATCTGCTGCCCTCCTTTCAATGGGTCTTTTTTTCTATAACTACCTTTGTACCTATGAAAGCTGCAAAGGTAACCATGTTTAGCAAATATGACCTAAGGTTTAGGCCCCGTGGTTAAAGCATTCTAATATGAAGGCCTCTGTCTTGCCACCCCTTCCCCTATGCTCCTCTATTGTAAATCACCACATAAGAAGAATGGATATTTTATTACACTGGTTAGAAATGAAACCTAGAAATATTTCTTAAATGGGGAATGCGAGTAAGAGGAAAATTTAATATTTAATCAAAACTGTAAAAGCAGTAGACTGTTTTCATTTATATAGACCTATACATTTAAACATGTTCTATTTTGGTGCATATAGTTTAACATAGACTTTTTAACTTTCTTACAACTTAGTTTTGCATATTCTCTATTTTCTCATCTCTTTGTTCTAATCACATAAGTCAGTTAACAAACAATTAACTGGCCCATTGTTCCACGGTGGGATTCTAGCCCTGCACTAGACAGTGTGTCTGCCCACACATGATACACGGTCAAGTTCATCTACTCAGGCTCCAGCTACTTCACTTCATTATGATTGATTTTGGCAGGTCCCTGATTAGGCCTCTCACTCAGTTCACCTTCTCACAAGAGCCTTGTCCTGCCCCGGTTTGTCTGACTCAGTGGATCAAGTGCCTGCCTTCTGAACGGCTGCTGATTTGATTTCCGGTCAGGGCACTTGCCTGGGTTGTGGGCAGGGTCCCCCAGTTGGGGGCACATGAGAGGCAACTGATCAATGTATCACTCCCTTTCTTTCTCCTTCATTTCCCCTCTCTCTAAAAAATTAATAAATAAATAAAATCTTTTTTAAAAGAGCCTTATCCTAATACAGGGTATTATCCCACCTGCCCTCAACTGGGGGGCATCCACCCCTAAAAGCAGTCAACCCCCCAAATCTATTGGCTGTTCTGGTTCTACAACTACTTCTGCTTAGCATTTAGCAGCTTCTTCAAAATGAGTGTATTGTCATTACTTCTAGCTCCAGAGAAGAGAAAGTAGCATTTGAACTAGGTCTTGAAAGAAAGAAAAGTATTTGGATTCATTTCCAGCTGAGGAAAGAACATGAGGCAACTCAAGCAGATCTGCCCTGATGAGGCAGATCAGAGTTACATGAATAATTTTTAAATAGTACCAGTACCTGGGGGCCCATGAGCAACGGGTCCAAATAAAGATACTCTAACTGGAGCTGAGAGCATGATTTTGGTTGACTATCATACAACGGTATACAGCAATGGTTCCTTTTCACTGGGCGATATCTGCTTGGAAGCATGTCCTGTTCTTCACCTGTGATAACCTCATTCAACCCACAGGACTCAACACGGTGAGTGCTGTAATCAACAGCACTCTGTGGAAGAGGACACCAGCACTCAGAGACCTGAAACTCCGATCCAGCTTTTGCTCACCCCAGAGCACCTGCTTGTTCATTGAATTGCTTGGACAAGCCACGATGCCTCCGGGCACCATGGGAATCTAAGCCCTACTTCTCCCTTGCTTCTACAGGAAAATAGGTTGTAACTTCCAAAAGAAATTGACTTTCAAAGGAACTTCTGGAACACAGCCTATTTATAGCTACCTGGAATTGTTTACACAATTTAAACCGTTCCTTCCTCATGCAAGATGACGTTTCCTACAGGAATAACAAAACTGCAAGATACAGAAAGTTTCAAGAGAGAACGTGTGTCCTTGTCTAACATAGTTTCTGATTCTAACCTGTTTGGAAAACGTTTTTCCTTAATTCATATTTCCCTAAATTTATTTTGACTGGTGACAATGTCTGTGAAATAAACTAGCCCAAAAGATTGTTACCTGTGTGAACTTATTGTTCACCTTAATTACCATTCACACCCAAGTTTGAGGTCTGAATTTCTTTTCTAACTAAATGTACTGGGGGTGATCATGGTCAATAAGATTATATAGGTTTCCCATGCACATTTCTATAACACATCATCTGCATATTGCATGGTGTACCACCCCCCTCAAAGTCTAATCTTCTTTCATTACCATATATTTGACCCCCTTTTGAAATTCTAGTAACTTTCACTTTCAAAGCATTTGCATTTAAATTTTTGTTTTACAAACTTTTCTTCATTTGATTAGAGCATGCATGAGTCTCTTCCTCCAAAATACACACACACACACACACACACACACACACATTGCACACACAGTCTTTCCATTAAGCAGTCAGTGTTTACCCACCCAACACGTATTCACTGAGACCCTCCTAGGCGCTGGAAACTGCGTTAACTGCTGGAGTCAAGGGCTTGATGCAAGATGCAGGGATATGTGCCATCCATGTGTGTCTCCATAGAATCACATGTTTGCTGTAAGTTCAGATGGTCTTCTCAACAAGACAATTGTCTCCTTAGGCACAAACCTTTCTTGGACACAGCTCTACTTATTATATGACAGACT